CCCTGCGTCCTGATTGGACAGACCATAAATTCGGTTGGGGAAACCACTTTCAATGAGCGGGTTCCCAGATGTATGTGAGTGGAGCTAGGCGGAGCGAGACATGCATCTGGCTGTTGTCAGGTTAAAAAAGGTGCAATCGCATAAAATATAACAGTGCTTCGTGCTTTGTTGAATCAAGGGAGAGAAAAAACTCCCCTTTGTGAGTAGATGCACACTTTCCTGTGTCTCTTTGGATGTTCTTGAATGGCGTCAATTTTCTGCCAAAAGCCACACAGACAATGAATACTCCTACGAAAAGCTTTACTTCATACAGACACTCATAAACTACTCATGTTTAACATGTTAGATGTGCAAACAGAATCCCATAGGCACCAATATATCACAAACATTAGTGCTTTTTCCTTATCTGCATGCTTGTGGTTTCATTTCAACGCGCGCACCAAACTCGTCTTCACATGTAGACCTGTTTCTACTCTGTTTCTACTTTCTCCTGTCAACTTTTGTCACTTTGAAGGCATTACCCAACGGACCAAGAAACCTGCCTGTGATTGGCTACTTTTCAGGAAATCATGCATCTTGAGTTGTGACGCATTGCCAACGTAACCAGCATAAACTGTGGCCGTTTCTCAATTAACAAGAACGCGGGTACGGACTTGTGTCCTTGCCAAGTATATTCTTGAGAAAAACACAGAAAAGTCTGGACTTTGGGAGAACGAAAGCACGCAACATAAATATGGGTCATTGGAACAGAAGCGTACTGATGACGTCACCACACACTCAGCTCACCTGAAGTTGCATTTCACCTCCTGTTATATATAGTCTCTACAGTAGATAATAAATTCTGACTTCTTTCATTCAGTGGGGGAATAATAATGACACAGTCAGATAAACACAAATCAAATGAAAATTTTGCCAAATAAAAAAATCGCCATCAGAGCCAGCCATACTTCACACAGGGCTATGCAGAGAGAGGGCTGCTGCAGACGGGCTAATGTTAGCCCTGGCTGCGGTTAGCCTTGGAGGTCCACTGGTTGCCTCGGTCCTCTCAACATCTGACCTTCTTCTAAACTAAGCACTAAAACAGTAAATGGGCCATATAGTGATACTTCAAATTAAAATGTTCTGAATGATCGAATGATGTGAAAACGTACAGTACTTTTATAGAACAACGGCAACTGAAAAGTGAACTTTTAACTTAATAGTCTGATCTATGTGAGCCTTCAGGGCTGGTTATCCTCCCACAGCAGTGTGTCACAGTGAGCTTGTCGCAGATATTTTTAATTTATGCCCAATATTGAAGCATAGTCTGTGCTAAGTTATTCCACGCCACAACGCAAGAGGGACAATCAGGAACCAGCTGTGGGTCTAGATACGGCCGAGGCGGTGAAGAAGTGGGGGCAGGTTTGTCCTAAAACGGAGGGACATGAGGGCAAAAAAGAACGGGGATTCAGGTGGAAAAAGGGTCCCAGCGTTCTCGCACACCTCGCTCTTCTAGCTGGTCCATCTTCACGAGCCGTTTTCCACAATGGCGATCATACAAAGAAAACAAGCCGGTAAGGTACCAAACAGGAAATATGCATAGTGTAGATTGGATGTAGATTTGACCAATCAGAGGCCTCCTGGTTGTGGCACTGTCTGCAGTCACCCACAACTTTTGAGAGGTGTCTGCGGCAGGGGTGAGGGCCCATTTGGGTTCACTGCAACACACACGTAGACGACCTGGTTTGCTAAGTATAAATCAGCCTTAACCTGGAAGCTGCCCCCACCACAGTGCATGCTGGGACAGCTGTCAATCTCGACAATGGACAAGTCTGCTCTGATGCATGCTGGGTAAAGAGGGAGGGGCAAGAACAACAGCCCGTTCTCGGCCTGCTGTTCTTGTGAATTGGAACAGGATTAGGTCTGAGGCTCATGATGTTTCACGAGCACATGAGAACACACATGTACCCATATTGAGAAATGGTCTTTGTTCTTTGTTTTAGCTAGCAGACTCTATCGCTATTTGACCAGAACTTTTTTGTATATGTCCTATAACCCTTTTAATGGACCCCCTACAGCCCATCAATATCCATTATTCATCCAGTCCATGTTATATCTAATGATGACTTTGCTTCCAACTTCCAACACTAGAAGAGAAAAAGTTGGCCTGAAGTTGCTTTGCTAGTAGGAAGAAAAGTACAGCCTCAAGAGGCGAGATTTCCTGGAAAGTAGCCAATCACAGGCGGGATGCTTTTTCCAAACTTCCTGCAAAAGTCACCTGACTTTTTGGCAGAATACTGACGCCATATTCTTTTTATATCTATTTTTATATAAATATACCTAAGTATGACCTGAACACTGTGTGTATTTCGACTGGATTCTCTGGTTAGGTCCTTCTCAAGCTTTTAATGTTAAAAATATAATTTTATATTAGAAATACAAGTCATGGAATATCTAAATGGGTTCCAACATTCTGATTTTGTCATTTTTGTTTTAAATGCTTTATTGTGAGAATGAGTATCTATTGCATTTGTGATTAAATATGTTGCTATACATGATTTCAAGTCATTTGACCTATATACTGCCTTCCTGTTGTTTTCAGGGAGCAGCTCAATTATTCAATTTATTTGAAAAATACTTAATTAATCCAAAAGGGAAATCAAATAACCAGCTTGATGTTTTAATAGTAATGACAACAATTATTGTTAACTAAAACATATAACGTATGATCATTTTATTTTTTGCCATTTTAAAAGTATGGCACCACCATATCTATCTAAACCTTGACCTCATTTCACTGCAGCTAATGCATTAAGGCCTGTAAGCTAACTAAGGGTAGATATTTACACTCAAAAGGCAGCACCTAATATATGGACAGACTTTCTGTCATTTGAGTCTGTCTAAATTCTACTTAAAGTATATGCTCTTAATTTCCTTTAAGAAGCATACTTTGTCTATTTCTACACAGATTTATTATATTAGCTTTTTCTTATTCGTAACTGGTTAAATGTTTTATTTATCTTTATCCATATTTTACTGAGGAAGGAACGTCTGGTTTTATAGTTTGTTCAGCTGTTTGATCAACAGTTGCTTTTTAAAAAATTCTGTAGAAATAAATGTTGACTTAACTCAAACTTAAAACTGGGACAGTTTATCCAAAACATTTAAGATATAGAACAGCCATCTTTATATATATATATATATATATATATATATATATA